TTTCCGGCAGCTACAGTAATTTTCCGGCAAAAACAGTGTTTCCTTCATCTGTTTCAGCGAGTTTTCAGTTGTCTCCTTCTGTTATTTGGTGGTAATTTTATAGACCTCACTTCAATCCAACAATGTCTTTGGGAGTCGATGCCTTTAGGTCTAAAAACCAGGGTTCTGGCAGTTCCGGTGTTATGACTACCTCAGAACCTTTAATGGGAAGTTCAAACTACTTAGCTTGGGCTTCGTCTGTCGAGCTGTGGTGTAAAGGTCAAGGTGTTCAAGATCATTTAATCAAGAAGTCTAGCGAAGGAGATGAAAAGGCCAAAGCACATTGGGAGAAGATCGATGCTTAATTATACAGTATTCTGTGGCGATCTATTGATTCCAAGTTGATGCCCTTGTTTCGTCCATTCCAAACATGTTATTTGGTTTGGGAAAAGGCTCGCACTTTATACACTAATGACATATCTCGTTTCTATGATGTGATATCGCGGATGACAAATTTAAAGAAACATGAATTAGATATGTCTACTTACTTGGGACAAGTACAGGCAGTCATGGAGGAATTCGAGAAGTTGATGCCAGTTTCTGCTAGTGTTGAAAAGCAGCAAGAGCAGCGACAAAAGATGTTTCTAGTTCTTACTCTTGCTGGGCTTCCTAATGATCTTGACTCATTACGCGATCAGATTTTGGCTAGTTCGACTGTCCCCACAGTTGATGAATTATTCTCTCAATTACTTCACCTTGCTGCAGCACCAAGTCACCCAGCGATCTCATCACAGACACTTGACTCATCTGTTCTCGCATCCCAGACAGTGGACAATCGGGCATCTCATACTATGGAGAATAGACGAGGAGGAAGTCGTTTTGGAAGATCTAGACCCAAGTGCTCTTATTGTCATAAACTTGGATACACTCGTGAGGTGTGCTATTCCTTACATGGTCGCCCACCCAAAAATGCTTATGTTGCTCAGACTGAGACTACAGGTAACCAGGGATTTTCTTTATCTGAAGGGGAGTATAATGAGTTCCTTCAATATCGAGCAAGTAAGCAGACATCTCCACAAGTAGCCTATGTTGCTCAGACTGATACTTCTGTTACTGGTAATTCTTTTGCTTGTGTTTCCCATTCTAGTACTCTTGGACAATGGGTTGTGGACTCAGCCGCTTCTGATCATATCTCTGGTAATAAATCACTTTTGTCAAATATTGCGTATTCACAGTCTCTTCCCACTGTTACTTTAGCCAATGGGTCTCAAACTAAAGCAAAAGGTGTTGAACAAGCGAATCCCCTACCCTCTGTCACTCTAGATTTCGTTCTTTATGTCCCTGGCTGTCCTTTTAATCTTGCATATGTTAGTCGTTTGACTCGTGCCCTCCACTGTGGTATATATTTTATTGATGATTCTTTTATTATGCAGGACCGCAGTACGGGACAGACGATTGGAACAGGACTTGAATCAGAAGGCCTTTACTACCTTAACTCGCTCAATTCCTCCAAGGCATGTCTAGTTACAGATCCTCCGGACCTAATTCACAGACATTTAGGACATCCAAGCTTATCCAAGCTTCAGAAGATGGTGCCTAGTTTGTCTAGTTTATCTACATTAGAGTGNCTCACTAAAAGAGATCCTAGCATGAACCTCATCATCCTAAATCCCATAAGCCATTGTATTCCCTCTTAAGTGCCCAAAAATGGCGCATCCGAGATACCCACTCTGAAAAGAGCTTATGTGAATCTGAAACCATTATCTTAGCTTCTATTATACAGAAATGTAATCTATAATGTTACAAAAATACTGCGAGTTTCGACACCATCCAATGCAAATCTCAAATTTTAGCCATTTATAAATCAGAAATGCCTCAAATACCACATATTAATCTTGAACCCATTAGAACCTTCTCGAGAGTCATCAACCGTACTCTAATCTCAAATGCACCACCAAATAAGCTAAATGACATGTGCTCCATTAGCACACCAACACCCAAAAAACGTGACCCCACCTTAACGTAACTGAGTGACTCCCTACTCTTAGCACATCACATCCATCACGAATAATAGACCCGAAACATTTTAAGATTTTCATATATTCATGGAGTGTAATACATCATGCATCTAGAAATTTCCTTGCTCAAGTCATCCTCAAAACAAACCTTTATAAGTCGTAACTGATCCTCAAATATGCCTCAGACCAATACCAATATAACACATAACCATGCAATCCAATTGTCTATAGAAGACTCCCACTTGGCTTGAAGCCATAAACATAATATCCGCTAACCCCATAAACTACCTTTACTCCATCAGTGCCATATCCCGAACAGTAATCACAAACTCTCATACGCTCATGTAGCACTCTTTATGACTGAACTCTGAATGACTACTGCACTTTAGACCTTAGTTATTTCGTAGGTAACTCTGGCCATGGGATTTCTGTGAATACTGATGATCTAACAAAGGTCATATTTTTTTTAGTCTAAACCTTTCTTTACCTCTTATGACCATTCTGACCACCTTGATATATCTGAGGTCTTACCTATACCAACCTTTAAGGAGTCTACTATAGCTCCTCCTTCACCTTCCGTCACAGAAGTCTTACCCATTCCAACCATTGGGGAGTCTAGTGTGGCTCCTCCTAGACTCCCTGCCACAGGAACACCACTCTTGACATATCATCGTTGTCCGCACCCGGCATCAGGCCCAGCTTATTCACGTCCTGCACCTGACCCTGCTCCTACTGCGGACTTGTCTCTTCCTAGTACACTGATTGCACTTCGGAAAGGTATACGGACCACCCTTAATCCTAATCCCCATTATGTCAGTTTAAGTTATCATCGTTTGTCATCACCCTATTTGCTTTTCTATCTTCTTTGTCCTCTGTTTACATCCCTAAGTCTACAGGTGAAGCATTGTCTCATCCAGGATGACGATAGGCTATGATTGACGAGATGTCTGCTTTACATACGAGTGGTACTTGGGAGCTCGTCCCTCTTCCTTCCTGTTGGTTGTCGTTGGGTGTATGCAGTCAAGGTTGGTCCGGATGGTAAGGTTGATCGTCTTAAGGCTCGTCTTGTTGCAAAGGATAATACTCAGATATTTGGGCTCGATTACAGTGATACTTCTCTCCCGTGGCTAAGATAGCATCAGTCCGCCTTTTTCTATCCATGGCTGTTGTTCGCCATTGGCCCTCTATCAGCTGGACATTAAGAATGCTTTTTTACACGGTGGAAC